TCAGATCTAGTTCTCTCTACCAATTCTACAACACTTTTAAGCTGCTGACGGACAGAACATGCTTTGTTCAGTAAATCAGTGGCATTATCAGGGTCAACACCAACTTTTTTAGGGGCTGTGACATTCTTCTTCATGGCTTTATTCATATTGACATCCTCGAGTGTAGTCATATCATCAGATCTAGTTTTCTCTACCAATTCTACAACACTTTTAAGCTGCTGACGGACGAAAGATGCTTTGTTCAGTGAATCGGTGGCATTACCAAGGTCAACACCAGAATTTTTAGGGGTCATGACTTTCTTCTTCTTGACCTTCTTCATATTGACATCCTCGAGCCTAGTCATATCATCAGATCTAGTTCTCTCTACCAATTCTACGACACTTTTAAGCTGCTGACGGACAAAAGATGCTTTGTTCAGTGAATCAGTGGCATTACAAGGGTTAACACCAACTATTTTAGGGGCCGTGACTTTCTTTTTCGTGACTTTCTTCTTCTTTCTAATCTTGCGTTGAGGTGCTCCACCCTTTCCAACATGATTACCACCCTGATCCAAAATCATGATCTCTGGAGATCCCTTGCTTTCTTGAGTTACAATTAAATCATTTGTCCCATTGGAACTCAGCAATGCACTTCTCACAACAGGAACTGTAACTTTATCCAGCAAACATTTAGATTCCTTGTTGGAATTCAAAGTACCATCAGATGCACGTCCACCACTAGAATCTTTAATTTTATCTGCCAAATGTTTCGACTCCATGTTAGAATCCAAAGTGCTATTAGATGTCCTACCCGCAGAAACCGTAACTTTATCTGCCAAACATTTAGACTCCTTATTAGAACTCGAACAACGACCAGAATCAATTGCTGAACCATCACCTTTACCCAAATCATACCCGACTTTCTTCATTGGAGAATCAGAGAGATTCACTTTTCTAATCTTCTTACATCTAGGTGTTTCGCTTCTGTCTGAGTCATTGGTTGGGCTTGACACCGGGGCCATAATAGCCTTCGCCACAAGTGCATTAGATTTAAATGAAACATCAAGCTCCATCGAACTTCCTTCGCTTCCATCTCTTCCCTCAACCCTTCTCTCCAACCTCTCAAACACATCTTTCTGCTTTCCCCTTACCCTACATCCACCAATACTACTCGAGTCATTGTCCTGATTTCTACTACTCCTGTTGTTATTAGCATTCCCACATTGAATCCTGAGCAATGCACTCTTCTTCTGTGGAGGAGACCTATAAATTTCCTCCTTGTCTACTCTTAACCTATTGCTAAACCTAACATCACCACCACCATAATCATAACCACTATTATCTAATGACACTCGCCTTGAAGAAGAACCAACCAAAATCCCATCATCAACATTATGACCATATTCCCATCTCTTACCTTCATACCTATCATCATGATGCAACTCATAATTCTCAGCACTCGATCTAAATTCCCTGACATCAATATGCTCTTCCATTCTACGCCTCTCAAGACGGTATCTTTCGTCATCATCATAATCGAATTCCACGCCTCTCAGACGATTCTCTCTCATAAAATCATCGACAATAAACCTAGGAGAATTAGGAGGATGGGGGTTATGATAACGGTCGTTATAATGAAAATTTTGTTGTTGCGGATGAGCAGGATGGTAGGGGGATTGATCTAGGATTAGATTAGAGGAAACCCTAGGG